AACGTCGCCGGTATTAATAGAATCTTTGTCCTGCAGAAACATGCGGTTAGGGTAATTAACAATCTGGGCCCTACGGAGTGTCTTTGAGAGATAAGTTTAAAGACATTAACATTCTTTCACTAACGTCACAGTACAATTATGAAAATGTTATTTATATTAAGGAAAATATTAATTTTTTTAAGAAAAATTGTGACAGACGTAACATTAATACGAGAATGTTACTAGAATAGAAAAAGAAACATAATGTTACGAAATGTTACAGAACAGTTGCTATATAAAAATATAGCAACTGTTCTTGACAGTCGTCTTCATAAAGTCTCAAATTCATTTAAGGGGCAATGTATACGCTTCTATAAGATTGATATTCAAAATTTGCCATTTAGTTTAAAACTATTGTTAAACAAAAACTTCATACTAAAGGTACAATTCTGCGTACTTATATTATTACACAATTGTGTGAACCTTATTCCGCTGCAATATGGTCACTTCTTTTTTGGAGACATTATTAACCATCTCGATTTCCATAGATGAAATTTCAATATAAAAATAATCAGAACGTCGTAACTTGCAATAATATGGTATTAAACTTTCACCGATAGGCCAACAGGGTAAAGTTTAAATTATATTAACAGTCCAGAATATGTTATTTCTTTTTAAATTTGAAACTATGACTATTTTACTTATGTGAAACGACTAATTATTGTCAAGATTTCATAGTGCTTCAAAATTATGAATGTGTAAGTTTTGGCGACAGTGGTTCTGATTGTAATTAGGGCATAATTTAAGGCATTTCCATTGTTTTTTTTTCTTCGGTGGCTGTGACTCACAATAGCATTTGCGTGTGATGAAAATAAGGTCGCTTTTAAAAAGAATCCTAAATCTGATTGTAGTATAAAGAGAAGCAAACTTTTATCATAGCAATTTGTCAGTCTTTGATGACTTTTGTTAATTTGTGTTTGTTTATAAGGCTTCAATAATTTATGTCACTATTCTGGCCTAAGTCATTTAAGATAAATATTGCTCTTTGTAATATGTGTTTAAGTTGACTATGTTGTTATGCCTTAGTAATAAAAATATCTAAAGCATATCATACCGGGGCTCCCATTAGGGTTCATTGGATACTCTTCTGTAGGCACTCCATCATCATTCACATACTGCATCGCAACTTGGCCGTTTCTATTCAAAGTGTCAAGTAAGTACGACTCTGAAACTGTGAAGCGACCTTCGCCGTGAGCTACCCAAATGCCGAGGATACTGTCGTTCATACCGCGGAACCATACATCGTTGTTTTTATTCTCACTTATCTTTACTGCACTCCAGCGGCACTCAAACCTGAAACATTATGGTATAACGTGTATGAATTGATTGATACAATTATTTAAAAGTAACTCAAAGTCAAAGTCAATGGGATATTACTTTTTTGCCACTGCTGGGGAAAGGCTTCCCCTTTCCTATTCCAGTTATCTCCGTTATATGCCTACAATTCCCAATTGAATTAGTTTCCACTTCCTCGCATTTCGTTTTTATTTTTTTACGTCAAAGTTGTTTGTTTTCATGAGGCAAACTCCTTAAATTCGTTCAGTGTAGAAAAATATAACAAACACATACTTAATAATATATATAAATTTCTAATTAATGGCGTTATCTACGTAACAAGCAAATACAGATTTGTTGGAACTCGTGGGAATACCCAATGTCTGCCTCACTATCACAACATCCTTTCTTAACTTTAAAAAAATGTAAGTTATTTATACCTTTCAGAACTATTATGGTCCAAAAATATCTGTTTCCTGCCTTTCTGTTTGGTAGGCTCAGGGTCGATCCAGCCAAGAAGAGCCATCAACTGGCATCCATTGCAGACGCCCAGCGAGAAAGTATCGCTTCTGTTTTTGAAGTGAGCAAATTGGGAATTAAGAGCTTCGGAAAAGAGAATGCCTGCCGCCCATCCTTTGGCTGAACCTAAAGTATCTGTTGGGCAACAAGAAATATATGTAGTTAGGCACGATTTGGAAAAAAAACAAGAGTTCAGAATAAAATGTCATCAAATTGTGAACATTTTTATTGTTAGCTGCTTGTTCTAAAGTTTTATTAATATTATTGCATTGACGTACAATTATATGGACGTCGGGTCCGCGCTAAAAAGTGTCCGCACTTGTAAGGCGCTAAAATCGTATACAGAGCGCGACACTCCGCTTTAGTCTTCATTTGTTCTACTGACAGCGCGATACTGCGATGACATTACAATTTAAATTTCGAATTTTTCGAATTTTTTCGAATTTCGAAATTTCGAGTCAACCTGACTTGGGACTTTTTTTCGTGGTTTTTGTATTAGACCCGTCGTCAATTTATTTGTAAGTCAATGTATAATATTATTGTTAAAAGATTGAAGAAACATAGAACAATTCCTTCGATCCGACTAGACCCGAACTAAAGTCTGCCAAAGTAGGTAGCAATATGGCTATCGCTTTTATCACCGGAGTTACGGATCGAGCCAGCAGATCTTACGAGTTTTTCTATGTGCTTGTTGCAGATCTTTGTATTGGCTTTAAAACGAACTTTTTGAAGTAGCGCCACCTATGTGAACTTATGAAAGTTTCTTCACCCAGTTAGGTACCTTAACAGCTACCAATAGAATTACATAGATGTCGCAATATTAGTTGAAATATTTATTTTTATTGAATATCATGATGATTAGTGAATTAATTTCGATAAGACAAAGTCACATTGAATGTGATGGGTCGCCTTAATGATTACATTACAATTACTTTTGTGGTCTGCGGTGCTTTTATGGCAAGCATTAGCTTATGGTATGAAAGCTTTTAATTCATAGATTTGCCATTAGCAATTTGCTAACCTAATTTGTCACGTACAAGATATTTTGTCAAATCTAAAATATATCGTCGTCCTTTTCTAGATCTGTCAAACTAGGTTAAAATTTACACCAATTACAGCAGTCGAAAAAAGGCTGAAAATTTACTATACATATAAACTATAAAATATAAACGCATAAAAATTAAACGAAGTTTAGTTTAGGTTTTCGATAAACTACAACAATACATTTAAACTTACCCGCATAACTGAATCCACCAGGGAACACCAATCCCTGGAAAGCGTCCAAAGTAATCTTTTTGTTCTGCAAGTCGCTCATGGTGACGTCGAATACGTCGAAATTTGCCATCAGTAAGGAGGCAATCATCTCGCGGTCTCCATTAGTTCCTGTAACAATGTAAAAATGATTTAATCATCAAAAACCCCAAATCATCGGCTTCTGAGAAGAAGCACTCAAAGAGAACGTTACTTGTATAAAAAAATATACCAATAAACTTAATACAAGCCAAATGTGTAACCATTCCGAAATATTGGGAAAATAATAAGTCACATCGTGGCAGGAAACTGGCTACGCGTAATAATTTTTTGAAAATTCATAATTTTTTTTCACACAAAATCGCCTTGACTCGCCATCAACGTAAAAGCATACTAATTATTATAATACGTTCAAAAGATTCTTGGAAAGTTTATTACTTAAATTACACCAAAAGGCATGAACAGATTTTCTTAAAATTTGCTATATCACATTTTTACCAGACCTGAACAAAAAGAACTAATGCCAGTGGTCGTTAAATTTCAAAATACTTGTGAATACGTACATATAATGCAGTAATTCAAGTAACGTAATAATGTAGGCTCTCATGCTGCACGAGTCTTAATATAAAAATATATTAAATTTTATTATTATTGAATTTACTCAAAGTGATCGACGCAAGTAATTAAGAAAAGTCCCGAAGTATCCAAAAAACCATATTGCTAATTAACCAAGGTGCCTCATGCCGCACAGATTGTCACAAAACCGTCCAAAATACTGTCGGATAGTAAAATTATTATTATACAATTTTAGCCAGCAACGTAAAAAAAACTGTACATATATTGTTTGGCAACGACGGTAGATGTCTATAAAATGTTATTGTGAATATATTAAATTAAATTTGATCAGTGTCGTGGACACTTTCATAATCAGGAAGAACGAGGCTCTAATTGACAGTTAAAGTCGGTCCTTCGAAAGGTATACAATGACTCCTGAGGACACAAAAACGTAGGACCTCTAATATTGGCTCACTGAAAATAATAATAATAACATTCCATATAACACGAGGTCTAATCTAAACATATTACTGACGACGTTGGTGACTCAGCCATTAGTATTATGGACGTTAGATAAAGAGGGGGAAATACCCCGGAAAGTTTGCGAAACCGACTTTTAAAATGTTTATTTCTGGCTGTTTTTGGTAGCGCCCAATTTCTTAGCTCTGGTACTCATAGTACAAGAGAATCCTTAGTTTGAGACCAGTTCATTAATGGGGTTGTTTGACACATTATTATTATTATTATTACTGGCGTCACATACCTTCTTCACGGAGAACTGCAACTTTGATTGACTTGGTTTTCACCACTGCGGCTGTAGGGTCGAAGGTGACTTTGTATGTTGCTCCCTTTCTCTTCTCCAGACCTAATTTGCATACAATTTCAATATAAGCACTACAGACAACATATTTTTTTTGTAACAGGTAACTAAGGCATGTTATAAGTATTGTTGGATGATTGTCTGATATTTTTTATCAATATTGTGTGTCCCTATAATTAGGAAATATTATAATTATTAACTGAGATATTAGAATTTAAATTACATTAAAAAATTTATATATTTTGTTATACATATAGTAGCAGTGAAACTCCTTGTGAAAGAGTTCGTCCAGGGAAGTACTGCTACCTTACCTATTTCTGCCGCCAAGCAGAATTGTGAGCTTTACTAATAATATATTTGTTAATATATTAATATTTTTTATAATAACAAGTGAGGGGATGTATATAAGTCGCGCGTCTGGTCAGCTACACGCCTGTCTACAACGGTTGCACTGCCACTTAGGGCTTTAAATCGCAAAGATCTGAAGGGCTAGTGCCCTTCAGATCCCACCACTCCGCCCGTCAACCTGAGACATAAGTTGACAAGTCCCATATGCCTGTAATTTCACAAGCACCTTTACCCTTCGAAACCGGAACGCAGTAATGCTAACATTACTCCTTGGCGGCAGAAATAGGTAAGGTGGCAGTACTTTCCATGACGAACTCATTCAAAGAAGCTCTAAGGCTACTAATCTCTATACTTAATTATTATTATTAATCTTAATGCTGCTCTAATGTTACAATTATTAATCAGACACGTTATGGTGCAGGTGCTGGTTCGAGTCCAGCCGGATCGAATGATTTTTTCTTTATGTGCGATCTTTGTATTTATAAGAATAAAAAATTTAAAAGTGATTGTTGATTGAATCTTTAAAGTTTCAATGAACATACGAACCGTTCCATTCCTGCTTAATGCAATCGGAGTTGGCCTGTAGACGTTCTAGCTGATAGCTCGTCTCCTCCCACATCCTGAACACGTCAATCAGGCTCGTATTTAATACTTTCTCGCCATTTACTTTTATCACAACCTGGAAATAATGCACAATTTTAGTAAAATGATAAATTGAAAAATATTCTGTTGTTAACAGGGCTACAGCACATCTTTTACAATCCTATACATTGTCATCACAGCCCTTAAAGCCTATATTATTCTATTATATTATTATTATTACGCTTTGCTATTTTTTTTTTTTGGTATTTTTGAACGAATTATTTGATATTTTGCAATTGTTTGTATTTTATTTATTTTGTATGTCAAATAAATACGATTTTATTTATTTATTTATTTATTATTCAAGTGATACATTAATGTTCATGTAAATAATCTATACTTTAATGTTATTTTTGTTTTGTTTGTGATTTTGTTTTGTAATTATTTATTTGTGTCGTAACAGTAACAGTGCTTACCGTAAAATTGTTATTACTATTATTCTTTTTATGATACTAATTGAAGGGACGAACAAGTCGTGCACCTGATGATAAGCGACATGCGTGTTCACAACAGTTGCAGTGCCACTTAGAGCTTTAAAACACAAAGACCTGAGCTGACGAACTCTTTCACAAAGAGCTCTACTGCTAATAATATTAAATATGATGTACGAGGTATCCCGTTGCGATGTTTGGAGCCCAAAAAACGAACTACGGGCTTTACATTGCCATGTCCAAATGCTTTTTGTGTAGTTGCCGCCTATTACTTTTCCATAGAGCAGTATCAACAAGGTACTGATAAAATTCAATTATTTACATGCTATAAACATTTTATATTGAATGAATATAACTACTGACATTTGTGTATGCAGTACTATTTAAGTAAGTTCACCATGAACGTAAGATTATTGACTGTCCGTGAAAGGGTTAAGTGTGAATGTTTTTGATTGTATAAGGAGATTAAAATCTACTTACTGTCGAATCAGTGCATAATAATAATCACCTCACAGTTCGTAAAACACATTTGCATATAAGAAATTAGCAAACATAAACAAACCTACCTCAGACTGCATTCCATATTTCCCAACAGTACCAACTTGCTTGGCGTTCACACCGCCCTTATTATATTCATTCAGTACAAATGCCAAATCTCTCTGAGCGACTTCAACAACAATGCCAAGTTCTTCATTGAATAACACTTCGATCGCTGACGCTTCTACTTTCATATCAAGAACGAATCCTCGGATGCCTCCAATGCCCATTTCTATGACTGTCGTTATGAAGCCACCCTCGCTAACGTCGTGTCCAGACAGAAGTTTTTTTTCTGTAATTTATGAAAGGAATAATGAAATAATATAAAGAAATCAATGGCTATCTACAATAGTGATCTGTTTAATAAAATAAACATTTCATCAGGATCGTGTACGTATCCCATCGAGTTATAACCAGAAAAGAGACGAAATGTCATTTAATTTGTTTGAAAATTATTCTGCCAAATCATTACGGTGACAACTGCGTTCCGATTGGCTAGCCCGAATTTGAAACAATTGACGGGTGTCGTCAATTGTTTCACTTCAAATCGAGTAGTTTAACTTGAGCTTTGCTGCAATGGAGAAATACTTAAAAATTACATATTAATATTAAATTACCGATGAAATGTGATTCCGTGTATTTAGTTACTAGATGTTTTGCTGCTTATCTTTATTACAATAAATACAGAATAATATTATCTTTTTAATATACGGAGACGTACACACAGGTCAGTTGTTGGCGCGGTTCTATTTCAGTTACCTATCTAATTTGTGATTTCAGTGCAAACGAGAGTTGATATTTAAAAGTGATATAAGGCTAAGGATTATTTTAACCAATGGAATATGTGGTGTGTCTTGTTCACAATACAATGTTACACTTTATGAATACTTTATAAATTAACTTTTTTTGTTAGGCTACTACTCTTGAAAAGCAGGGACAGAAGTAATTACTTTTACTACATTCATAGTGTTAAGCAGATTACCTTTGAGAAGCTTCTGTGTGATTTTGAACAGTGATTTTAAGACAACAGGGTCGTCGAGGTCGGGTGGGTTATCGCCTAATTGCTTGAAACACTGAGCCAGAGAAGAGCCGCCAAGCCTGATGACAAAAAAACCAGTACAATAGTTTTCCACTCATGATAAAGCAGCTGTTAGTGTTTTTTTTTATACTTGAATTTGTAATGATGTCCTATTTCTAGCACAATAACACGCATAATTAAGTTTAAAAAAATTGAATCTTGTAGAATAATAAATTCGACTTGAATTAATATAATGTTCAATCCTGCTGCTTATTCAGAAGGCAAATTCGTTTGAGAAGAAACTCTAAGCATTGTTCTTTTAAAGATAAAATAGTTAATATTTCAAATTAGTATTGAATTCAAAACAACAATACTAATTTGTCCAATTGAAGGGCGACTACGGCGAAATTTACATTACTTTCAATGCATACAATGAATAAAAACGTTTGTTTATCTAGCTTACTAACCTGCATTTGTTGGTAACAGGCACATAAACGAGAGCTGCTCCCTCCGTAGTAAGAGCAGGTTCGATTTTGACCGTGATATCGGGACACGGGGCGTACGTCGATACCACTAGAGTCCCGGGAGATTTTACTGTAATTAAATAACAAGTTTTATTTACTACTTAGAATCTCAACTGTGTTACAGCTAGTTGCTAAATTTGGACTCCTGCAAACCCAGGTAACAAAAATTGTAAAGACATGTTTGGGTCGAGCGACAGGGACACTGGCTTTATTTCAGAATTAATTTTCTTACAAACGAAATTAAAGCTGTTTGAAAAATGTATATCGTATACTATACGTGTTCTATTTAGTTCAGTTTATATATTAAAAAAACATTGGTATATGTAAAGTACCTATTGTAATACAGCGGTTTTCATGTAAAATTTCGATGCAAGTTTGTATGTTTTTTCTATCGTGAAAAGTTTTAGGAATCGTGTTTTCACACCATGTAGTAATCAGTGTATATATTAACTTTACTATATATTATTTCCAAAATGATTGATTCAACACTTACACTGTTATGCGAAATCAGCCAAAGCTATTTGAGGTTGTATAGACTCTTAAGTATGTTTTTTAATTTTTTTTTATTATATTTTTTAATTTGTTTTATTATTACACGATATTATTTATTATTACGATTACTCTGAAATTTGTGAACTGATTTCGATGATTCTTTTTTGTCGGAAAGAGATTGCCTCAGTGGTGACGCCACTTAAATTTGTAGAAAATATTTCGCCTGTAATGATGAATCCCGTTTATTGGATTTCACTTATTTTCCGTCAACAGATTTCAATAATTTGGCAAAAAGATGTAATTCCACAAACGTTTGCGTTTGGTAGGTTTTTTCTTATAAAAAAGTTATAATTATTAAGATGCCTCTAATCATGACAGTACCATTATAAGACTGGAGTCCATTTATGATATTACATTCTCCTGGACACATCATTCGAGCCGTCTAACATTTCAGTATTGAATGCCCTGAGCCAAAAAAGTTTGATTGTTCTATATTATGAATGTCATTTATATAGGTCCTTGTTGAACATTTAAATTAACAAAACCGGTGAAAAAGTTTTTCTTCCATGATAACAATATTTTTATATTACAGTTTATTAAAAAAAAATCAAAGTGGTTCGAATTATGTATCAGGGAATGTAATGATCAATACTAATTTAACCAATGATAATTTAATTGATAGTTATACCACACATAGGTTCATGCAATAATGCTAATTGCTAATTCTATTTCGGACTATACAGCGATATGCGATATACATGTCACACGTCGCAGACAATACGTGTAAGTTTAAAAAATTAGTATTTAGTGATTTATTACCTTGTTATGTATGTTAGTCTAAGGTATGTATATGTATGTAATGGGTCTGAATATAAATAAATAAATAAAATAATATACAAAATATGTCAGTTGGATGAAAGCTATCGAGAGCGTGCCATCTATGTAGGCGTGATAGCATCAGCGATACGTCTGTGCCCCTCTTGCCGGGATATTCGGGTTAAAACTAGACAAGTTTACCTTTCTCCCCAGAGACGTGAGCGCACATAGACAACGAATCTTTCCCTCCGTCGATGGCAACGCCGATTTTCCCCATAGCTTCACACAGTGCTTTGCATGCTACCACTAGGGCGGCTCCCTCAGCACCAACTTTGCCTGCCCACATCCAGTTGCCGCTGCATTTTACGTCTTCTAACTCCGTTATGCCGGCGAATACCTAGATAGAAACAAGGAACGTCTTACGAGATCCATACACATAACAGGGCGCAGCGCTGTTTTTATACTAGACTTCTATACTAAACTATACTTATTTGTAACTGACTTTTTAACGACTGTATTTTTTTATGTATGTTACGCGATAACTCCCATTTTTGAACCGATTTTGACGATTCTTGTTTTTGCTGGAAAGAGGGTGCATTGGTACCATTTAAATTTGAAGGAAATATTCCACCTCTAAGGGTAGCAAACTAGCGGATGAATCCGGTTTTGCGCACTTTCCGGTACCTGATTTCAATAAAACTTGGCAAAGAGATGTAATTTTATAAAAAAGTTACAATTATGTTACTATCAGGTCCTATGTACAACTTGATTCCACAAAAAATAAATTATTGTTTGCGTGCGCTTGACAAGAGATGTCAATATATAGAATTCGCGTCGCGCTCGGTGTGTGCTCGTAAGTTATCAGAGCCTTCTGACAATAGAATCAAGAAACATTATATATGATCCCTCATATGTTCCACTGTCCTATCAGGTATGCAAGGAAAATCCATGTGGATTTTCGTTGCATTTGACCAGCGTGTTTGAAGAGAGACAACAATAAATATTTTAATAATAATTTCGTTACTTGAGGTTCCCATGGCTGTCGTGAATAAAATATATACTCTACAATTCTTCTAATGTTAAACAACTTACCAAATTAGTAAGAGCCTCTCCAAGCGACAATCTCGCACCAGCTGCGGGGTCAAGCAAGCCCTTAACATTCTGTGTGCCAATAGAAGTAGCAGAACCGACCAGCTCGTTATATGATAGCGCTATTATGGCACAGTCGGCCAATGGCGTGTGTAGAGGGCCTATGCATTGCTGTTGCGCTACTAGACCTGTGACGCAACGGTCGACCTATGTAGAAAATATTACCTTGTTAATCCATATAAGTTATAAAATTCGATCAATTAAACATAACAGGACAGAAATTATGAAATTTCGTCGTTTATTATAAACCAAGTGACAAAAAATGTTTTGCGCCGTGTTGCATATTTTTAATCGCAAGTGTTACCTTAAACGCCTCAAAGCCTCAAAAATCTTTAGATAGAGGTAGCATAAATATTGTTAGCGCCGAAAAAGCTTGATCATCCATTGTTTTTAAAAAAAATTAGCTGTTGTGGTTACGAAATTCATTATTATAATTGTTAATACAAAGATCGAACACGTAGAAAAATATTATTCGATCCGGCCGATACAAATTTAATTACAATTAATAGCGACATCTCTAGCCAGACTGGTAGCTGTAAAGCTACCTAACTGGGTGACGAGATACTTTCATAGATTTCTCATAGATGGCACTATGGCTAAAAAGTCGTTGAAAACCAAATACAAAGATCCGACAAACAAGCACATAGACGTACATAGAAAGTACGTGACATCCGCTGGTTCGTTCCGTGGCTTAGTTGGCATAGCGTCTGCCACGGTTTGCTAGAAGACGTTTGAATCCGGTCGATTCGAAGGAATGTTTTCTAAGTGTTCTTTCTTTCTCTTCTTCTCTTCTCTTTGTATTAATAATTATAACAAACTAGTGGTGCAATTTCACAAAAAATAATTGAATACCAATATAATACAAATTTAATTCATTATTATAAATTAAAATTAAATTTAGTATCACATTTACATGTCTATTCTTAAAGTGTTTCTCTACTACTGGTTGGCCATCAGTATGGCAAATTTGTCCCTGCTCGTGACTCTGGTCCACTCCCTTATGTTACTTAACCATGACTGTTTACGTCTTCAAGCGCGTCTCTTGCCTTCAACCTTTCCCATCATTATAAATTGAAGCAGTCTGTATCTATCGTCGTGACCGCGATATGTGATTAATAAGGAATGGTTGGAAAAAGGTGTTCCACGGTGTTGTATGTATATACATACTTGTATAAATATGTATGTGGAATACCTACTACAAGGAGTGACATGATGAGTTGTTAAAACCACCAAATTTTAATTAATTACTTTTTCGAAAACCGGATTTCCGGAAATGGTTTTACTGCATCGTAGTACAAAACTACTCATCTAGGAAGTTAAAGTTGGATTTTACAGTAATTGTAGTGGTGCCATGTAAAAAAATGTCTTTTCATTACAGTAAACCTGCTTGGTGGAAAAAATAAGTATGGTGGCAGTACTTCCCTGGACGAACTCTTTCACAAAGAGCTCTATTGCTATTAAAATAATAATAATAACGCTATAATAATAATAACAATAATAATAATAATATAGCTATAATAATAATAATTGAGTTTGTACTCAACATAGCCCCGTAGACACATAGACAAACACAAATTACACCCAAACTCACGAGAGAAATAAATGTAGGCCATACAAATATTTCTCCCGGCCCGGGAATCGAACCTAGGACCTCTGCGTGGCAGTCCGGCATGGTAACCGTTCGGCCACAGAGGCAGTTAAAAATTAAAATGATGATAATGACAAAGATGCTTATAATACTATGCAGACGATGATGCTTATATACAATGCTGATGCTGCAGATGCGGCTGATGGTGCTTATGGTGCTGAGTGCTAATGATTCAGATTGGACCTGTTTTGGATTGGATTGTTTATAAGTGAAAATATTTATAAAAACCTGTAATTTTGTTTTTTGCGCTTACACTTAAATCGGCGGTAATGGCTCGATATTTAGAGGAACGCTTCAAAAGGTTCAATTATTCATATGAACGTTACTATAAACAATGTTCATATATGAACCATTGGCCACATATAAATACCTTTTAATTTAAATCAAAAGATAGTAGAAGTTATTCTTTTTTCAAATTAAACATTCTGTTGTATATGGCCAGTGATTCACATGAACATTGTTATCATATAATTTAACCATTGTTATAGCGTTTCTCCAAATATATCTATGAGTGTATTGGTACCTACCTTGTTAGTCAAGTATCTCTTGCTGGCGACATTAACAAGCCTCAAAACGCGATCGAGTGCACTCTTCACGGTAACGTCCTTGGGTAAGGTTAAAGGTAATTTGGTCCTCTTATCTTGTTTCAAGTCAAACGTCTTTCGGGGCATATTTCCTGTTTAAACAAATCTATCTTCAACCGACTTGGAAAGACTTGGTAAGCTACACGCCTATCCATAACAGTTGAAGTGCCACTCAGAGCTTTACATCGCAAAGATCCGAGGGGCACTGCCACTGCGGTTGTCACCCTGACACATAAGTTGACAAGTCCCATGGGCCTGTAATTTCACCAGCACCCTTACCCTTCAAAACTGGAACGCTGTAATGCTGACATTACTGCTTTGCGACAGAAATAAGTAAGGTGGCAGTATTTTCCAGGACGAACTCGTTCACAAGCTTTAGTGCTTTCTTTCTACGAATGACTACTAAACTTAGAATGATGATTCTTTCACCTAATAAATAAATAAATATTAGACAACATCACATACGTTGATCTGATTCCAAAGTAAGTAACTAAAACACTTGTGTTATGGAAACCGGAAACAACGAGGCCACGGTGCCACAAACACCCAGACCCGAGACAATATAGAAAAGTTAATAAATAACGCAAACACTCATAGCCCCATACTTGGGAAACCCTGTGTCGTGAGTGCCATGGACACACATATTTATAATCACAAATAATTTACACCCAAACTCACAAGAGATATAAATGTAGGCTATACAAATATTTTTCCCGGCCTGGGAATCGAATCCAGGTCCTCTGCGTGGCAGACCAGGATGGTAACCGTTCGGCCACAGAGGTAGTTAGTTTCCTACATTGACCCGGCCGGGGATCGAACCCGGAACCTCAGAGATGGCGACACCATAAAAGACCGGTGTGCAAGCCGGAGGTCGGAGGACGGAGGTCGTCAAAGTTGTATTGTATTTAAAAAAAAAATTCTGTAATCTATCAAATATTTTTGTGATTTAGATTGTAATACGATAACTGTGAGAATATTGAAGTAGGCTATACATAACGGTACATACTCTGTCAGTGTGTACATAAGACGCCACCAACATACTGTCAAGCTGATTATATATATGTCTTAAATTATGTTGAATTTAATAAAATAAATTAGTAATAATTTTATTACTACAAATGACAATTCTACATTGCAACGAAATATGTATGTACCAGTTGTCGTCCCAAATTAATTTTATTGATATAAAAATACCGCTTACCTAACACAGCTTCGAGATGTAAGTCGTAAGGCAGTTTAGATTTGGTTTCAGGCTTGACCCTTTCATTCCTGTTAAGATACTTGGGGTTAAGCGAGTCCTCGACCAGGCTCATGTAGCCGTCACCCGTCACTTCGCCTACGAATGACACTGGGCATCTTTCGCGAGAGCAAAGGTCTGTTGGAAAAACACAATAGGGTTTGATTTTTTACTAATAGCTCATGTCTTCGAATATGAGTCAAACCACGTGGGTGTGTCATATATAATTTAATTTGATTTATAAAAGACAGGATTAGATAATATTATGCATACAATTTGTGGCGTGGCTACGTCATAAGTACCTTACAGGTAGTAACGACAAAAAGGCTGTTTAAACTCAATTCAAATATTTAGCCACGGTGAGGCAACAAACGCTGGTTCCAGTTCAGTCAAATCTAAGGAATGTTTATTGATCTTTGTATCAATAATAATAATATAATTATGAATATAGTAGTAGTAAAAAACATGATATTCAACAACATAAAATGTATTTTACATTATCTTTTAAATTCAACTGGCATTCAAGATCTGTCACAATAATTGTTTTGTGATGGGAAACATTTATAATGCAGAAGCACAAATGTTACTAGACGATCTGCACCAAACGTACAAAAAAACAAAAGAAGGTCAAGTAAATCGCGCTAAGTTTCTTTGTCGCGAATCACCTTCGTGTACTTACTATTCAATTAAAAATATTAATTGCCTTCAAGAATTAATATTGATACCAAGAACGAACAAACACAAAGAAAAATAAATTCGATCCGACTGGACTTGGTCTGTTGCCTCGGCGACGTGACAAAAAATAAATAAATAAAAATACCTTCCAGAATCTTCTTATTTGCCTTATTACAAAGCAAGGCGTCGTTTTCTTGGTACTCAGCTCCCCAAAGCTCCAGGGTAGTGATTGTAGGGTCTCCTAGTTGGAACTCCTTGGTGAACACTACTGCTCCCTCAGGTTCCACTAGCTCCTTTAGCACGTTGCCGTTGCCGCCAGCGCCTTGGTCGTGAATAGCTACAAAAATACAACAACGTTATCGTTGTTATAACTACATTTACTTCAACATTTGTGTAACCCTACTTTTCGACGAAAAAGAACTTCGAATATCACCCAAAGTGCAACTTTCTTTAAGCTTTGATAAAATACAAAGAGGTTTTGTGGAAACTCACATTCAACAGGGTTGATTTTAGCTTCCAAACATCCTCTAACGACACGATTGAGACGGTTGCCCATTTCGGCATCACCTGGAAAAAGTATCAAGTTATAGACACATTTCAAGAAATCACATTGACTTATAAATAGATTTTCAATATAATTATGTAAAGAAGTTCACTAACTCTTGAATTGGGGGAATTAGATGAGTAGGTCTCGGTATAGTATTTCGGTAGCACTAATTTCGTAGCTGTGGTACTTATTATACAGGGAATTCCACAGTTGAGACCAAGTAATTATCTGGCATATTATTATTATTATTAATTTGCATTGAGGTCTCTAAAAATTAGAGGTTGAAATCTCCCTTGAAAATAGTGTCGTCAACTCAGCACTTTACGCACTTTTAGGTTCCAATGTGGCTTGACTTCAACCCCAAGTCTTCTACGCTCTTAACCGATGCTGTTCCACTATTGGATATGGACTTCTTTGCAGACTAATTACCTCTCTGCACGGCTCCGAAGTCTAGTGCAGCATCCCTGGAGTCTCCACCCTGCACAGCGACGGAAGAGGCTGCGCCTCCGCCCACACCGATGCGATACACCGGGCCCCCAATCTTCACAAGCAGCATACCTATATCCCAATAATAATATAGTGTAGATATTGATAAGTTTTCATTCCTTATTATACGGAAACCCCTTCGCGACTAGTGTGCTGGTCACACTGCCTCAGTGGCCGAACGGCCGGACTGCCATGCAGAGGTCCCAGGTTCGATCTTGGTGCAAGCTAAGAAATGATAAAACAGTGTAAGGTAGCATAAAGTCGCACGTATCCAAATCGATATAAATAAGGGTCAATTCAAATGGACAGTAATAATAATAATAGTTTTTATCGAGTTCTTAGGTTTTCGCGATTGTTGCACATAGGAAATGAAACTATTTTTCCGGATTTAAATCGCGTATATTTGTTTTTTCAAACACTAACTAACGTTCGAAAAAACAAATATACGCGATTTAAATCCGGAAAAATAGCTTAATTTCCTAAATAATAGTTTTTGTATAGAAATATCACATTACATGTACGGTTGCTTTGCTCTTATTGCATCGCAGCCTTAAGTTTCTCAACTACTATACACTGTACAACCAGTCATCTACCAACCTACGTCTCAATCACTTCCTCCTTATATCACAATGGTGCACTGGTGACACAGACTACTTTTCATCTGCACTATAGCGTAATCAAGGTATCTTCAGTAGAGTTCTGTGTGAAGTTAGCATAGTGATATCACACGCCGCATCTAAGATTTACTATCGAAACCAATTTATTTTATTCCTCGTAATTACTACACAAAATAAAATATTTTTTTAATTTTTCATTAATTCAATTTTTAAAAAGTTTTACAGAAAGCGACTTTTCTTTATCGCTAGTCAAAAACTTAATGGCTTAACCACCTAGCGATGTTCTACTGCTAATAGTATATATACATTCTAAGTTTATTACACATTTCGAACGAAGAACCTGAATCCAAGGTCATGGAATAAATTTTAATTTATTTTATTCACAATTAAAAAGTTTACAAAAAGGAACACAAGACAGCTAATAAAAACCATTAACAGATTTATGTATCGCTGCCATCACATGCTATCAGGCGTCTAACAAAATAATTACTGACCAATACTTATACGTATCTAATAATTTACGCAACTTACACTTAAGAACTAATAACTTTAACAATTTGATAAATGAATTGACTTAAGGATCGTTTTACAATTTTTTGGTTTACCTATAAGTTTATTAAAAACGTCACTTGGGAATTTATTAAGCAGTAATGGTAACATATATCTCCAGACACGCTTTCCATAGTTGTTATTGTAAGGAGGAAGAACATACCTAAAATAAAATATATAAGAAATAAAAACAACGAAACTGACTGGTAGCATTAGATACTTTTATATTTGCAATATCATAGATAAGTGTCATTATACTAGGAATTACTTACCCTTTTCAGGTTTGTTTTTTTTGATCATGTCATGAGGCATGTATCCAATGCCGCCGCTGAACATTATCGGTTTCACGAACTCCTCGCGCACATTGTCGCCATTTTTCAAACCGTACGATTGGACAAAGCCTGAAATATTAGATAGTAATAAATATCTATCTAAATTCGTTTTTTTTTCAAACAAACCAATATCCGGGCCCTTTACAGGTCCTATGGTCACGGCTAAATGGTCATGGTCAGCCACCTGTGACCATGGAACCTGTGGAAACGGCCTGAACCGTCAGTTTGTCTGAAAAAATAAATAGAAGCGCTTTAGATTCGACGAAAAAATAGCTTCATTTTGCATGTAATTTATATTTACTATTTTAATGTATATTAGGCGTTTAGCGCTTTTCCCAGTAGGTTAAATTAGAATTCTGAGCAGCGTCCCCAGTGATACTATGTTCGAATGCTCTTCCGCAAATTTTCCTAGTGCATAACACTGATAACCTGCCATGGAATTATTAGGTGTCATTGTTACCGTGGACTTAGTGCTCGGGGCTCGAAGGTCAGTGCAAAGTAGTAGAACGTAGATGAGCGTTACAGTACCTGAAATAACAGGCTCCCCGAACTTGTTTCCGTAATCAGAAGCTCCGTTACTAGCATCTATAATTATTTGTAGAGGTGATGCAAAGTTGCTAGGGTATTCCCAGCCTTTTTCTTCCCACGGCATGTCATATCCTAAACAAAATAAAACTCCAGAAGTTATTAATAAAATAATTAAAAGAAACAAAATAAGGAAAAGATAAAAAATATCTCATCCTCCTTATTTCTGTCTTTGTATAAAAAATCGAGATGAATCAAATTGTCAATTAATAATCCTGTATGAGGTCATAAAGACAGATAGTGCTCATAAGGAAAATGAAAATTTTCTGTTAAAAAAAATTTGCTGGAACATTTCAAAAATTGGGTGGAGACTATTATACATATGAATAACAAGTACGACAGGTTACCTGATAGGTTTCTTCCAGTTTGTTATTATTTTAATAACTAAATATTGACATACATACGAAATTTTTACTTTGTACACCCTGAAGGCAATTGAACACTTTCTACGACAGACAATTACTTCAGAAACATAAAAGAAATAAAAGTCAATTACAAACGCGGACGAAGGACCCCGAAGGTATTTCGGCCACATAGAACGAAAGCTGTTGGATAGTATAAAGAGGTTACGGAGAATTAAAGAAACAATCATTTTGAATGATATTGCCAACTAAGCCACGGAACAAACTGGCCGACCTTTCGAATTTTTCTGTGTGCTTGTTGCAGACCTTTATTTTTGGTTTCTGAAGAAATAGATTTCTCACAAATGGCGCTATGGTAAAAAAGTCGTTAAAAACTAGAAACAAAGATCTGCAATAAAGACATAGAAAAATTCGTAAGGTCACTACTTCGTTCCGAGGCTTAGTTGGCATAGCGTCTGGCGCGGTTTGCTGGAAGACATTGGTTCGATACCATCTTTGTATTAATAAGCATAACAAACATTCATTTTTTTAAATTAAAGAATATGTATACCATCAAGTCTGGTTCTTCGGGTATTCCTGCAGCTACCGTACCGTATCTAGTTTGTATGTTACAGATTTGACATAAAGTTAATTTTGCTATGTGCAATATCGTTACAAAAATTCGCTTCCTTTTCGTGCCGCAACAATGTAAATTGAGTCTATGGTACTCCACGCACTATGCTCCTGACATACCGCTTTCTCTTCGTCTACTCTCCGCCTATTCCCGCATCAAACTTTTCGTACACGGGTACTTTTCAGTTGGCCTTTTTTAAGGCCATGCACAATATCTGTGAGATATGTACATTTAGTTCTACATACGGGGTTTCTCTTCATGTTCGCTCCATCTCTTCCTAATGACCAAGCCATCGAATAATTTAGTAGCAGTAGAGCTCCTTGTCAAAGTGTTCGTCCAAGGAAGTACTGCAACTTACCTATTTCTGCCGCCTATCAGTAATGTGAGTATTACTGAGTTTCAGTAAAGGGTAAGGGTGAAGTTACAGGCACGTGAGACGTGTCAACTTGTCTCAGGGTGAAAAGCGCAGTGGCAGTGCCCCTCAGAACTTAGCTATTTAAAGCTCTGAGTGGCACTGGAACTGCTATGGACAGGCGTGTCGCTCACCACCAGGCGCACGACTTGTTCGTCCGGTAACTTGGTATCACAGAAAAATAACAAAAAGGGAATTGTAAACACTAACCTGGGATATAAAGATTTCCCACACTATACCCCGCTGTACCAGCCACAGTATGTCCGCCACGTCCAACTCCCTGGACATCCCTAATCCTGCCACCAGTGCCTGTGGTTGCGCCACTGAACGGTGCTACAGCGGTAGGCATGTTGTGGGTCTCAGCCGTGAAGATGATGTCAGATTGTGTCACTTCTTGTTTGACTTGCGAAGGAGCCGTTACGTCGACTGGACGAAGTTTGGTGTGTTTAAATCCTTTGATGGCACTGAAATTTATTGTTTAATTCGTATAAATACATTGACTGTTGTAAACATTACAAAATAATTTCTTATAAGTGCGAGTGAATAAGCAATATCTTGTCAAAAGCACGGCGAAATAGAGAGAGAGAGAACTAATGACGATTTCGTTCTCATATTCGCGGTATGAGAGATAGGCATGCGAATTCAATGAATCGTATCGTAATTTACTCTCTTCTCCGCAATTTACGACAATTAGATTGAATGGTTATGAATGTATATAGTACTTGAATAATTGATTGTACCTGCTATTATCTCCAAATTTAATGACATTGTTGTTGTTGGAGCTGTTCTGAGTTGACGCGACCATATCTATAAGAGATTCTTTAATTTCTTGACCATCCAAAATCAGCTTACCCTGTAAAATTTTCAAAACTGAGTAGCGTGGAATTAGGTAGGTACTTAAAATTATTGCAGTATAATTGTGCCTTACAACAGAAAACATGGAAGTAATACGATACGCCTATTTAATATGTCACAGTAAAATTACCTTGAAAAACCAATGGCGTGAGTGTTCGCTGTTACTTTGAGCAAGGTCAAATAATTCCACACTGGTTGGATCGCGTTTTAGTTTATTTATAAAAAGATCCATATAGAAATCCATATCCCAAGAGTCGAAAGCCAGACCTGCGAGTAATTTACAGTACATGGAAAATTATATATAGTGAATTAATAATAATAAAGTGAATTAATAATTACGCACACACGCAACATAGCCCCGCACTAGGGAAACCCTGTGTCGCGGGTGCCATGGACACACACATAGACAACCACAAGTTACACCCAAACTCACGAGAGAAATAAATGTAGGCCATATAAATATTTCTCCCGGCCCGGGAATCGAACCCGGGTACCTCTGCGTGGCAGTCCGGTATGGGAACCGTTCGGCCACGGAGGCAGTTATATATGTTACTTATGTTCTAATTCAAAGGAGTTAAAAAGTCTTACCAAGCCTTTGGTTCACACTTTCCATGGCTGGTCTACCTTCTTTCAGTAACGGTACTACAAACCATGGCTCTAAATCTTTAGGCAAGCCTTCATTAAAACTTTTTCTAGGAAGATTATCTTCAGTGTAAATGCATTGTGTCATCCTATCATGCAAGGGAGCCGCCAATGCATCAAACAGATCTTTGGAAACATTCTTAGCTTTTTGAAATGTGATCAAGTATCTAGTGGAGACTTCAAGACGTATGATGTCACGAAGACCCACGCTTTCACAGATTTGTACAGAGTTACTAGAGTCTGCTGTGGAAAAATTAAACCTACAACAAATTTTATATCATGATAATATTATTTTTTAATTTATAATATTGATTACAGAATGGATTGAAAAATTCTGACGAGTTAGGGCTACTCCTTTCAATAAGACAGCCTCTCAACTCTTTTTATATTCATAATTGAGTTTGGCCAATACTGTGACAAAGGATTTGGCATGATTGTGACTTGTTTCTTATAATTAGGAGAAGGAGAATGAGATGAAGAGACTTAATTTACAATATCACTGAATAGAAAGAAAGGAATAAAAGGAGAGAAGACAACATACTGACTACATGACTTACCTGGGTCCAATTTCAATAACAACCTGATTCTGCCTGATATCATTGAAGACAGTCTCATTTTTTAATGATTGAGGATAGAGAGGTGAGCTTAAAAGCCACTGCAATATTTTTATCTGGTTGATATTCAAGTAATCGCAGCCTTCAGCCAACTCCACATGGTAACAAAGTTCGGTTGATAACTTGGTCACTCCTGAATCGACAAGTTTTAATTGTTGAAGTATCTCATTTGTCTTATGAGCGCTGAAGGCTTCAGATGAAAAAAATCTAATTATACACATTTTCACTATCAATGTCTGAACATTAGTTGTTGAAGTCGCACACTATACTGTACAATTCGATATGGGGGACAAACTGTTTAATGAGACTCTTACATCAATGTCAAAGTTCATTCGTATCAAGTGGTACTATCTGAAACAAATATAGATAGATAAACAACTAAGCTTATGCAATCTTTTCATTGTCTTTATTATGCGTTATTTTATGTATGTACACCAATAGACGTAGAAAGCATTTAAGCAGACACAAATTTAGGCATTACAAAACAAACTTGGAATAAACTGGGAAAGACAATCTGAAATATTTAAATTCTTTTAAATATGTCTGTATAATAACTTGATACATGGATTTCCATGCAACAAATGTTTTTGTTTTCTCATTTACTATTATACTATACTTCCAAAGCTCATTATTGGCTGATATGCTTGAGACGGTAATAGTCACTTAGTGGCTTGGTGGGGTTAATAGTTTATCAAGGCCACTGGAGGTCTGTTTGGTATGTAGTATTGTTGCCATCAGTTATTGTGCAAGCTAAATGTTCCTTGCAAAGAAACAATTGGATTTCTTTCTTAGTATTTTTGCTATTAGAAAATGTAATAAGATATTTAGATTATTATATAAAAATCATGGTCAGAACTAAAGATACCAACAAAATTATATAATTAATAATAATATAATAATAAATATTGTCTTATTCTTGATGACAAAATTGTACATTTTAATGAATTGCACATTTATAATTACCACACCAAATACGTATTTGGATAAATTGTTTGAATCTTACATATATCAAGTTTCTATTTAACACAAAAAGCAGATTTTAAAATGATTTTAAAGTTACTTAAGTTACATAACTAAGTACCTATTGTGTTAGACTAGGTGGTTTACAAAGTTTTGGCATGAACAACACACATCGCACCTTTAGAATGAATGTGACCCAACACAAAATCTACATTTTTTCACATTATTTAATTTATTACTCTTGAAGTACTAAAGATACTTGATAGTCCCAGAAAATAATGATAAATACTCAGTTTTATAATCTCAAAAATTTACAAAAACTAATCACGATAAGACACTTTCTTGTTGTCATTTGACCTAACAAGAACTGAGTCTCTTTCATTTTCACCAACTAAGTAAAAAATTTAACGATGATTTAGGCAATGAAAATAGGTCAATTGATAGTGCATGACTTTTTCGCCAACAGCGGTGGAGTGTTGTATTTGCATATGCAGATTCAACCTTAAAATGCAGTTTGACTTACCAAGGTGGGCATTGACTTTTTAGTAAGTCAATGAAGGTGGGAATACGGTGGAAGGAGTGGAATACCAAACATATTATGATAGAGACCCATGTAGAGAGTATGCTAAATGAGTCAGTTCCAGAGTAACAACCTCATGAAAAATTATTTTTAAAGTTGTTTTATAGTATAAATACATTTCTTGGTTTTTTAATTAGGTCACTTTCAATCAAAAGGTGCAACAAGTAGTTCTGCTAATGAATTGGTACTACATGGTAATGGTTGTAGTGGTAATATTAG